GGCAGTGCATGCCTGTAAGTTCAGGGCTAACCTGGGTCACCTAGGCAGATCTAGGTGTGTGTGTGTGTGTGTGTGTGTGTGTGTGTGTGTGTATAATACATATATAATATATTATATGTATCATATATATAATTAAAAAAAACCCGGCCTCAAACAAATTTTTAAAGAGTATTTTTATCCTTTAATTGTTCCACAGATAATTAGGGCACAGATAATTTAATTAGGACACAGACTGTTTCACACAGGACAAATTCCTTTCGGCACCACGTGCTTCCTTGAGACTCACACTCGGGGTGTCACACTTGATGTCCGACTCTTCCACTGGTGGGGCATCCAGGCTCGATGAGGAGCAATCATCCCGACCCCTCCATGAGTCCCCAGTGACACTCTTTTTCATTGTCTACATCCCATTGTGTGGCTGAGGGAGATGGGGTGCTTGTAACCCTGCGCTCGAGGCTGCTGCTGGAAATTAAGCCACAAGCCATCAGAAGGCGTTCATGTGACAGTTGAATTCTCTTTTCTTCACTCTACAATCTTCTATGCTTTGTTCTGCTGTGTTCTGATGTTCTGAAAATAAGTTTTCAGATGAACCTGGTGGCGCATGCCTTTAATCCTAGCACTCTGGAGGCAAGAGGCAGGTGGATCTCTGCGAATTCAAGGGTTAATTTTCTAAAATGGTTTAAATTTCTTCTTTCATTTTGGTAGGGAGCTCTCTGCAGTCCTTTTCTTCCATTTATTCAAGGTAATCCGTTTTCCTTGGCCGGTGCCTATTGGTAATAGATCATTTAGAAGAAACTGCTCAATAGATAGGTTCTTGCCGGGACTTCTAGGCAAGGAAATCTCTTTTATAAAAACGTCAGTGAAGGCTCTTCCCTGGTAGTACGTTGCTGGGATCTTCCTCAGTGTTCTGAGTTTAATTCATTTCACGAACGAATCAAGAGTAACCTAATTCCTGTCTTCTGGAATCCCAGGGCCCAGCACCCAGGCCAGTAGGCTTTCAAGCTGTGACTTGCTTCAAAGTATCCCACACCCACTTCTGGCCTCCCACTTGGCCCATACATATAAACTTTGATGAAGAAACAGAATTTCTGTTCATCTTTCCACGGTCAACACTACTTTAATCTGTGCCTTGCACAACTCCTTTAAGATCTCATAGGGCACATTTTTACGACGTCGATATGTCAACATTTGACGCAGCGCGCCGCATAGGGCACCGCTCAAACAGGCCCCGCCTTGCTCCCCGCCATCACCGGGCGGCCCCCGGCCCGGGACCGGGTCAGACCCATGTCTGCGAAGCCCCTAAGGGCGTCCCCTACAGGACGAGCGCCACCACCGGGCGCTGCCACCAAAGCTTCTCCACGGGAGGGGCGTTCCAAAACTGCACCAGCGCATCTCAGACAAGGGGAAAGGCAGCGTGCCCGAGGTCACAGAGCTTCTCCTGTGTGCACGGGAGGGAAACGTGGAGGACCAGGGCGTTGTTCACCCAGACCTGCACAGCGCTGTTGGCAAACCGGTACAACCCTTGAACGTGCTCCGGGTGTTTGAACTCCGATGATCTAGGAGATGGGTGGGCGTGCGTCCGCGAGGTGTTAGGGATGAATAATGATCAAAATACATTGTATGCACGTACATTATTGTCAACGAACTAATAAAATATTGTAGTACGAAAAAAATCTGTCAATGAGAGACTAAAGTAAGTGATAAAGTCCTTGCAACCCTCCCAAAGTCAACCCCATTTTAATGCAGTAGTCCTTCTCTTGTCCACAGAGGAGACCTTCTAAGACATTCTCCAAATATCTGAAACCACTTATAAATATAAGTATATAAATACAACGGTCTGAAACCGTTATAAACGCATGTACAGTATGTTTTTAATGTATAAATACCCATGATAAAGCTTAATTTATAAATTAGATGTCATAAGTTTAATTTATAAATTACTGAACAATTGCAACATGTTATAATAAAAGTTATTTAAAACTTACAAATTATCGCCTTCTAGAAGTTTCTATTTATTATTTTCAGACTTCCGTTGACTGGAAACCACCAAGAATGAAATCAGGAATAGAGAGGATTTCTGTATTAAGCAAAGCTAAGGGGTGTGCTGGCTGTGGCAGAATGTTCCAGGTGACACTGTGCTGGACTTTACTATATAGTCCACTGTTTCGTTTTATTTTTCTTCTTCCTCCACTAGTGTTAACTCCCTCCCTGAACTAATTATTTCTCTTAAAACAGATGCACCTCTTTGCAGCACATTCCTGTGTGCATTCATATAAGCAACCTCAAATGACTGGAAGGCACATGCACATAAATTGACAGAAATAGAAATAAGGGCATGTTCACAATTCAGTTTACCCTGCATTCTTAACATTTTTTAATCTGTAGAAATTTAAACAGCGTCTTAACTTATAAATGTTGGGAATGAATAATGGTTTCCATTGCTAGATCCTTACAGTTTGGGCACCGTGCTGTACTTAATGCATATGGTCTTATTTAATGTTCCAGTACCTTGTGGACCCATTTCACACACCACACCACCAAGTCACAGAGAGCCGGACACGCTCAAGGTCAGAGTTTAGAGTCGGGATTTGGCTTCAGGCGGTCTGACTCCGGAACCTTGCTTTTAGCCCTTTAACAATATTGTAAAAACCCCAGATATGTATTTGCTTTAAAAATACTGTGTCTGTGTCCCACCTCCAGAGATTGTGACTTAATTGATCTGGAATGTGGACCAAGACCTGGAATTTTTAAATCCCAGGTGAGTCTGATCTGAGACCATTTTAGAAATGTTATTTTACGTGGGACATTACCTAAAGCTGGCCACTCCAGAGCTATCCCATCCTGCCAACGAATGAAAGAACCTCAAAAGTGAGGCTCGCTAGGAGACACAGCACGAAAGAGGATAGTTTGTTACTCATTCCGATTCCCTGTGTTCACAAACTCTCGGTTAGGACTGGTTCAGCATTATACTGACACTGACCGATGTGTCTGAAGCTGAAAACTGGTGTAGGCTAGGAAAAGCCGTAGACTAACTGCTGTGACTTTCCTAGACAACAGCACAACAGAGTCATAAACTTTTCTGCAGTCAAAAGGAGTCTAGCCTTTAAAAGAACAACTAAAATTGCCTGAGTCCATTCTTTTTCGACTCCTCCCTCAGGCTGCCACCTCCTAGAGAGGACAGGTACTTCTATCTTCCCTGTGTTCTCTCATAGGAGCCAAGTCTATCTATCTCTGTCTGTCTGTCTATCTCTCTGTCTGTCTGTCTATCTGTCCGTCTGTCTGTCTCTGTTTATCTATCTGTCTATCTGTCTCTCTATCTATATCTATCTTTCTATCTCTGCCTATCTACCTGTCTGTCTATCTCTATCTATCTATCTATCTATCTATCTATCTATCTATCTATCTATCAATCTATCTATCTATCTATCTATCTATCTATCTATCTATCCCCCTCTCTTTATCTCTTTGATATACACACAGACCTATCTATTATCCTCCTATCTGAAAGAGAAAAACTGCATCTCACAGAACTTAATCCGATTGCCCAAGATCATGTAGTTGACAAAGTGACAAAGTCAGGGTTGGATCTGTCTCTTCATGGTGCCAGCGTGACCTGCTCTCCTTTTCAAACATTCCCAAGTGCAGAGTGTGCTCTTTCCGAGCCTTCAGATGTGATTAAAAACTCCCACGCAGAGACTCTGTCTGGAACAGTCTGTCATTATGATGCCCATTTTGACAGGTCTCCGGGTACAGTGACCCTATAATCAACCACATTTTTCTACCAAAACCATGAATTTTCATTTGCTGAATCATATCTCCTGGTATGGTACTGATATCTCAGATTTACCAGTTTCTTCCTGTCAAAGACACCACACTGAACATTTTAATGCACGAAACAATTTCCTTAAGGTGCATTTCTAGAAGCAGGATTGGGCTGCGCTGTCCCAATGTACTCTTTATCGCGTGCTACCTTACACATCTGCCAGCTGTGCACAGGATGCGTGTCCTTTCGCCCTCTAGCACATTGTCCTTTGTAAAAAAAAAAAAAAAAGTTGCTGATCTGATAGCTTTAAAAAAATCTGTTTTTTATTTACATTGCTTTGATTATAAGTAAGGTTGATAAGAGATAAAAAATAAGTAAAGTTGATTTTTAAGTGTTTTTGGCCTTTCATGGTTGTTCATATTTGAATTTAACTCATACTCTTAGCTTATCTTATTCTTGGCACATATTTTAGTATGATTCCTATTCGTCCTTTGATAGTCTTCAGATACTAACACCATCTGTTTAGCATTTTTCCTACTTGCTGTCTGATACTTATTGAATATTTTGATTCTTATGTAGATGTACATTTTTTACACGCAGTTAAAATTGAAGTCAGCGTATAGAATAACAGCTGCATTGCTGCATCCTCATGCGTTGTTTCTGTTGCTCTCCTCCCCCATTCTCCCTTCTCCCCAAATCCACTTGCAGGTCACATATAGTCTTTCACCTTCTTTATCCTTCCTTAAGACCTCTTTCCCTTCCCATCTTTCCTTTCTAGTTTTGTGATATATCCCACAACCACACACATCTATAAAATTAAAATTTAGCATAAACATATGAGAGAAAATGTGATCTTTGTCCTTCTGATTGTAGGCTGCTTTGTTTAATACAATTCTAGTTTCACTCATTTTTCTGCTAATGCAATTTTTTTCTATAGCTGGATAATATTCTTTTGTATACACAGAAGTTTTAAGTTTTAAATATTTTAATCTTTTTGGCCAGCTTCAATCCTAGAAGATTAAAATCTGGTGATTATATGTTCTATTTTCCTTCCAGCCCAGCTTTAAAAAACTTGAATCTCTTGATTTGTGTGTGTTTTTCTTAGCACATGGCATGATATATTTAACTTCAATATTATTCCCCCATAGTTACTTTTGTGATCTCTTTTGATTTGTGATGATATCCTGATATCTTTAATTCCTGTTGAATCTAATTTTTTGCTCTTATTCTCTTTTAGCACAACCTGTTTCCTGTGACCTTGTAAGGAAATGGTAAGACCAAGGAAAATACTGTTATCACACCTGAAATGGTGCCCAGCACAGCTGGAGGCCGGACTCCTGGAGAATTTGAGAGAAAGCCAGATCTTTCAAGGAGTCTCCGTGCTTTCCCTCTGTGATAGGCCCTTTTAGAATCTGGGTTTCTATGGGAACAAGAAAGGTAATCTGGGAATGTAGTTTCATAGTAGAGTATTTGCTTAAAACCAAAACGACCACCAAAATAAAAAAATAAGCATACACATAAGTAAGAAGGGTCTGGAGAGATGGCTCAATGCTAAGAGCACTGACTGCTCTCCACGGGACCCAGGTCAGATTCCAGCTCCCACATGGCAGCTCACAACAATCTATAATTCCAGTCCCAAGGAATCCAACATCCTTTTCTGCTTCCGCAGTCACTATACTCGTGGTTCATAGACAAACAAGCAGGCAAAAACACTCATAGGCATCACACTAAGAAAATAATAAAACAGTAAGGAGGGAAGGAGAAAGACCCAACTAGACGTGCCTGGGCTACTCGTGGTTGGCTGCATGGCAGACTTCATTTTCCAGGGCTCTTAGGAGTCCGCACTGGCAACCTCTTGTCACGGATTGCACAAAGCTCCAGGTGACTATATCTCAATCCTCCTTGCTTCAAACTAAGGTACGGTAGCTAATGAAATAAACAAAAGCCTTCAATGCAAAAGGAAAACAGTGTGTATGTAATCATGAAAACAGATGCGAAGCCCTGCTTTGACTAAGAGGAATTTTAGGAGAGTACAGAGTTGAGCAGTAAAGAGAAATACTGAGGGTCGATGGCGGCCATTCATGTGGATGAGACGTGAATGACACCACATTGTAATATTACCTCCATTCTTTTAAAAAGTAGGTTGAAACCATTCATAATTTATTTATAATCACAACCCATTTACTCTTATGCTTATTATTTAGACTTACTTTAGTCTGAAAAAGCTGTGGTTTTTTTTCCTCTTTTTTTTTTTAAGATAGTAAATATTCCTACCTTTTTTTGTGTGTGGTGCTTTTTGGTTAAAAAAAAATATTTTCTCACAAGAAACCTGAAAATGGAGATGGAGTAGCTTTGTGGACTAGAATTTACTGAGAGCAAATAAAATCCAGAAAGCATGCATTGCTTCCGTGGTTATACGGGAGCTGAGAGTTAGGGCTGGTAGAAGTAGTGCTTAATGAGTATTCCTAGGTTTTCTTCAAAAGTCTGCATGGTGGCACTTGCTGATAATCCCATCATTTGGGCGCTACAGGCAGGGAGGCCACCCCTGGGTATAAGCTGAGTTATAGGCAACCTTGATTGTACAGTGAGACCCTGTCTCAAGGACAAAACAAATGCATGAAATGCGCAGGGCTTTAAATAAATGCTCCCCTCTGAGCATGAACAACCTACTCTGTGGCTAAACAGGCCATGAGAATAGGTAAATTTTTTCTTTTTTCCTTTTAAAGACAAAATCCTGCCTCTGCCTCCCTGGTGCGGGATTACAGGCCACTGGGACTAGTTTTGGTCAGAGTCTTCTATGGGTACGAAGCGATATATTGGGGTGATGTGATCCAGAATTAAATCTGGATTTTGGCCGGTTCAGCAGTCATATTATGGTTACTGTAGAATTCCATCTAACTCTGGAATGTCCTCAAGACCCTAAACTCTCATTGGTACCTCTATAGATTTCTCCCAAGAGTTTCCACCAAGCTAGAATAAGTTAGGCTTGAGAGACTGAGAATGCAGAGAGGTTAGTTGCCATGAAATGGGGACAACTGCGTGAGTCTGGAATGTGGGAGGTAGGAGAGAAGGGGCCCGAGTGGTGGGAGTGGAGGGGACGCATCCTTCTGCTGCCCTGTAACCTGCATTTGATCTAGCAGCTTTCTTGAGTGACACAGCAAACTCAAACGATCTCAAGTGTATCGTCATTGGATTTATTGGTAGTCTCATGGTTTTGCTTGTAGAACAATTACCTAAGTCTATATTTTAAACAATTAAATGCCTGCTCAGCCAGCGCTTGTTAAATACAAGACGCTGCACTAAGTCATGGTGGTGAGAAGGAAAAGGAACATGTATGTACCAAGTACCCGCTTCAGGGTTGCAGGATGACACGCACATGGCATTTTGGGATGGATCCATCCATCTCTTCTAATTATTTTTACTCTGGCTTCCTATTGCTTTCAGATAGGACCTTTGAAACTCGTTTCCTCTAAAATGGAGTGATCAGTCTGAAAAATCTGTGTGATTATTCGTTAGTCAGATGCAACCTGGTCAGCATTGGTGCTGACCATCCTACTGGAGACATGACCTCCCCAGCACAGGCTCCCATTCCCTTCATTTACTTAAAAAATAATTTATCACTTTTGTTTATCTTTGGGTGGGGACACCGTGGTGCTGTGTATGGAAATCAAAGGATAACTTGTCAGAATTGGTTCTCTCTTTCCCACACATGGTCCCAGGGATTGAACTCAGGTTTGTCCGTAGCGACTTTACTCTCAACAATCTTGCTGGTCCCTTTTTTGTTTGTTTGTTTTGTTTTTATTCCCTTTCATATTGCCAACTAACATATTATATGCTTGCATTATTTCATTTATTGCCTTTCTTTCTTGACCTGAGTCTGTTTTAGCACCAGTGAGTATCTAACCCAAGGATGCTCCTGGTTTATAAAAAGTGTGGAGTAACAATTTATTGAATAAAGACTGGCATGGTGGTGCATACACCTGTAATACCAGCCCTGACGAGATAAAAGCAGGAGGATTGTCTTGAGTTAGAGGCCAGTATTGGTTTCATAGCAAGACATAGTCTCAAAAAACCCAAACCAAAAGGAAAAAAAAATATTAAGTGGATGAGCTAAGTCATTTGGCAATAAGAAACACTAAAATAGGCCAGCAAGATGGCTCAGTGGGTAAAGGCACTTGCTACCACACCCAAGCATCTGGGTTCAAGCCCTGAGATCCACACAATGGAAGGAGAGAAATGACTCCTTTAAGATATACTCTGACCTCCACATATGTATTGTAGACCATGTACTTCTTCAGATGTGTGTTCTTTCTCACACACTCAATAAATAAAGAAGTAAATAAATACATGTAAATTTTTTTCTTTGGGTTTTTTGAGACGGGGTTTCTCTGTAGCTTTGGAGCCTGTCCTGGAACTAGCTCTTGTAGACCAGGCTGGCCTCGAACTCACAGAGATCTGCCTGCTTCTGCCTCCCAAGTGCTGGGATTAAAGGCATGTGCCACTACCGCCCAGCTACATGTAAAAATTTTAAAGAGACCCCAAAACACAGAAAAGAGCAGGTCACAGTAGTGACTAATTATTGGTTTAGAAAAAGCTGTATGATTAGAGGAGCAAAACTCTCAACACACACACACACACACACACACACACACACACACACACACACACAAAGAGGCAGAAATGCTGGTTACCCTGATACATTACACACTGAGCAGAAAAGAGAGCATGAGTTCTGTGTCTGCATTAGAATTCTCACTGTGGCTACAGCGTGGGGAACGGGTGGGCAGAGGGCATGTGTGGAGGCAGGGGACAGAGAGATCAGTGCATCTGGTGGCTAAGATGAGGATGGTAGAGAGGGACCGGGCGTGTGTCTGTTGTTTTTATTATGTGGAAGTATCAGAGTGTGTGTGTGTGTGTGTGTGTGTGTGTGTGTGTGTGTGTGTGAGTGTGTGTGTGTGTGTATGTGTGTGTATATACAGGTACCTGTGGAGGCTCAGCTTCTCTGGAGCTGGATTCCCTGACACTGGAGTTACAGGCAGTTGTGAACCACACAGTCCAGGTGCTGGTAACTGAACTCGGGTACTCAGCAAGAGCAGGACATACTCTGCGTCGCTCCACTAAGTCTCCTCTTCAGATCCTAAGTCACCCCAAATATGCACTGTCTCACTTGCCCCTCTCCAGAGTCTCTTTGATGAGGAGTCATCTGTTATAAAGATATTTCTAAACACCCTCTGAATTAACAAGCTGGTATTTGTTAGTTTTTTTTCTAGAAAGAGAATTGAAGACCTTGCTAAACCGAAAAAGCAATGGGGAACGCCAGATAGGTAAGGCAATATTATATGGTCTTGTTTGCAATGGCTGTGTTTGCTCCACCAACTACATAAGTATTCTTCTTAGTTGGCCATTACACCTGTGTCTCAGGTGTAGCTGCTGACTGTCTCTACCTACCCGCGTTCCCTTTGTCAACAATGTTACCCCAGGGGACTGAACACATGGGAGTTTAACCTTTGCTTGGTGATTCCACAATTTGTTTGCACATTAGGGATCACATAGGGAACTTTGATACTGATCAACGACTGAGTCCCATACCCAGAAATCTGACTTGATTAGGGGTGCAGCTTCAGGAGCGTTTGCCAGATGCTTCTAATAAAAAAAGTTTTGGGAAGCGCTGCCTCAGGTGAGACTCTGCACTCTCTTGAGACTCTTGGGTTCATCCAGCAAGTTCACCTTTGCAGCCTCCTGGCGGACTGTCCACCAGCCTCTGAGCCTCTGCCCAGGACCTTCTGTTCTCTGGGTCTCAGCAACCCAGATCCCAGTCTCCCGTACTCTAGGACGTCTCTTTTCCTTCTTTGGATCCCGTGTAAAGCCTGGTAGCTTGTAGAGAAGTTCTAGATTTGCAGGAAAGGTGAGCATAGGTACCCCTCTCCTCCAGTCTCCCCTGTAGTCATGGTTTGCGTGAATGTGGTCTTGTTACAGTGGAGGAGCCAGCATCCATGCAATCCCATGCCCTGTGGTTTGGGGTTTGGCTAGTGCAGAGTGGGGTGCTGAAGAGTTCACTGCCCTTAACTCCGCTTTGTCCTTCATTCATTTCCTCCCATCCGTCCCGCTCTCAGAATATCCTGGCAACCACTATTTTTTTTCTTTTTATACTGTTTCCATAATTTTCCCTTTTCTGGAAGATCGTGTATTTGGAATCATGCCACATGACTCCAGAGGGGCTCGTTTCACTTGGTAACAGGCGCTCTAGGTTTTCCATTTATGTTCATGTTCTGCTCTCTCATCTCCTTGTAATATATTCCATTGGCCCCACTAATATCCCATTATATGGAAACCTTGGTTTAACCACGCACCTATATGAAGGGTTGTTGCTATATCTGGCAATCATGAACAAAGCTGTTATAACATTTATGTTCAGGTTTTGGTGTCTTTCAGCCGTAGTTGGGGAAGTGTCTGGGATCCGAGTACAGTTCACATCGTAAGGGACCACAGCACTCTCTCCCGCTGAACATGGACCATTTTCTGTTTTCATTTCCCATGGATGAGAGTCCCTGTTGTCTTGCACATCCCTGTCAGCTTTTGGTGTTGTTGGTAGTTTTGCTTTTAACCATTCTCACAGGCATGTGGGCATGTTCACCATGTTAATGTGGTTCCTGATGGCAGGATCGGGAACTTGCTTTACAGCTTTCTTTGCATATTTCCTTTGCTGAGGTATCCTGTTAGATCTCTTGACAAATTTTAACAGGACGCCTTCTCTTCCAACTGTTCCTCTCGAGTGTTTGTTGTGTTTTCTGGGGATTAGTGCTTCCGGTCTGAGTTTGTCTTCTTGTTTTCTAAGCAATGTCTTTCACAGAACAAATGCTTTGATTTCAATTAAATTCAGCTTATCATTTTTTCCTGTTATGAATTCTGGTATCTGCAGCCTAATTGCCAAACCCTTCATCCCTTGGATTTTCTCTTACTATTGTGAAATGTGGTTTCAAGGTTGGCTTCAAATTCTCTGTGCAGCCCAGGGTCTTGAAGTCCTGAACCTACTGCCTACATCTCCCAATATACCCTTTTGCTCTGACCCAAACCTGCCGAGTGCTGGAAGTGATTGTTCCCATTCTCCATTCTACCTCAGCAGGCTATGGCTTTAATTCCAACTGTCTGTATCTTTCACCTCCTTCTGGAACCTTCTCATAGAACTCTGTGCTGATTTCACCTTTCTCTCTCAGCCTGGCACAGCAGGCATACCTGTTTCATAGGACTATTGGGACTAAATGCTGTGATGTCATGGTGCCTGGCACACAGTAAATGTTCTGCAAATGATTGTGATTGACATTATTCTGTTACTGTTTTATTTCATTACCACCTGGTACAGGGGTTCACTCACTGGCTTGTGTATTAGGAGGCCGCTTATTTGTTAACTGCTGCCCAGTTTCAAAATAACCACACAGAAACTGTATTAATTACATCACTGCTTGGCCTATTAGCTCTAACTTCTTATTGGCTAGCTCTTGCATCTTAATTTAACTCATTACTATTAATCTGTGTATCACCACACGGCTGTGGCTTATTGGCAAGGTTTTGGCTCATCTGTCCCCAGTGGAGGCTACATGGCGTCTCTTTACTCCACCTTCTTTCTCCCAGCATTCAGTTTAGTTTTCCCTGCCTAGCTCTACTCCGCCCTATCACAGGCCAAGAAAGCTTCTTTATTCATTAACCAATAAAAGCAACACATAGACAGAAGGACTTCCCACACCAGGCATGTCTGTTTTATGCCACCCTACTACAAATGACACTGCTAACTCCATGATGGCAAAACTATCTTATTGCTAATAGGCTCATTTTAAGTCACTACTAATTTTTATCATTACTACAATCTCCCCCCTCTTGTGTGTGTGTGTGTGCATGTGTGTATGTGTGTGTGTTTGTGTGTATGTGCGTGTGTGTGTGTGTTTGTGTGTGTGTGTGTATGTGTGTGTGTTTGTGTGTGTATGTGCGTGTGTGTGTGTGTGTGTTTGTGTGTGTTTGTGTGTGTGTGTGTGTGTGTGTGTGTGTGTGTGTGCTGAAGGTCAGAGGACAACCCTTGGGAATCAATTCTCTCCTTTTGCTGTGGGATGGAGGTTCGAACTCAGGTTGCCAGGCTTGTGCAGCAAGTGCCTTTTTAGCAGCTGAGCCATCTTGCTGGCCCAAGCTTACCATTTATTCTTAAATGGAGTAGACATAGCAATTCTATTCTATTTCTAGTTTAATGTCCATAGCTCATTTCTCTCTGGTGTCTGAAAATCATAAAATCCTGTGAGAGATGAGGATGCTGAGATGGCTCAACAGGGAAAGACACTTGTCACCACGCCTGATGACCTGAGTCTGATCCCTGGAACCCACATAGTGGAAGGAGACAGCCATTCCTGCAATTGCCCTCACTTTCACACGCACACCACAACACGTGTGTCAGCACACATAAATACGATGTAGCACACAATTAGAAAGGAGAGCGAGTTCTTGGAGACTAATCCATGTAGATGTTGAGTGTCACCTTTGTGATGCTTACTAGCAGGAGTTCATTTAAAAGCAGTGCTTTGCTTTTCTGCTTCATTAACAGAAGGTTGTTTTGGGGAAATCAAGATCCTATTCGCCCTGTTTCTGATGCCGCTTTGAAAGCTCAGCTGACCAAGAGAATTGAGGACCTTGCCCAGCCCAAGCTGGTCTCCCGACACTACGTCCCTAACAGGTTGGTGCTGACACAACGTCGGGTTGCTTCGTCAGGACTTCACAAGGAAAACGAGCTTAGAGCCCAGCTCTTGCACTAGCTATAAACTGTTGAACCTGGAATCCAAGCTTACGGAACTTAGCTTCATTCAACTTTCTGGTGCTCTTTCTCTCCTCAAAACTTATATTTTGTAATTTGACCCCACTCAGCTTGTTCCTTTTCATTATAATTCTTCATTAAAGTTACCACTAATAACAATATGACAGAGTCTATACTAGGCTGTTTTGAGATTTGCTCTGCCAACAGAATTAATCAAAAAACTCTTCATTTTAGCTTCAGGCAGACTCTTTAGACAAGAGCAAAAGGCAGGCACTTTCTTGACCAAAATGGCACAAGAATGATCACTAGGCAACGTATTAAAATTTTCCTCTGTAACCTCTTGAGAAAGTGCTCCACAGTTCACCAAATCACTTTCAACATTATTGTTTTCCAGTGTCCTACCAATATGGCCCTTTAAGCAGCACTTGAAGTGTTCCATTGCTTTCCTAACCCAAGTATCAAAGTCCAAATTCCTGCAAACAAAAACATAGTCAGACCTATCACAGCAATACTTCAGACCCTGGTACCAACTTACATCTTATTTAGGGTTTCTGTGGCTGTGACGAGAACCATGAACAAGGCAACTCTTATAAAGAAAATATTTAATTGGGGTGGCTTGCTAGCAGTTTCAGAGGTTCAGTCCATTATTATCATGGCAGGGAGCATGAAGGCATTCAGGCAAATGTGGTACTGGAGAAGTAGATGAGAGTCCTACATCTTGCAGGCAGCAGAAAGTTGACTGAGACACTGAGCAGTATCCTGAGCATAGAAAACTTCAAAGCCCACCCCCATCGTGACACTCTTCCTCCAACAAGGCCACACCTTCTAATAGTGCCACTCCCTATGAGATTATGGGGGTCAATTGCATTCAGACTACCACAATGCCTAATTGTGGTTTCCAGTTTCAATATATACTGTAAGAATTAGCAAACATGAATGAGTCTTTTCTATAAAATGCTATAAAACTTGTATTTAGGTCATGGAATTAAGATGTTTTTGCCTCTCCCACCTTGGAAGAGTTACACTTAAAGGTACATATGTCTACGAAAACCCTTAAAATCACACTTGCTTCCCACCTAGTAAAAATTTACTCAACGTGACTCCTTTCCCCTCCCCCACTTCCAATGCATTAATTCTTTTCAGATTAGCCAATTGGAAGAGACCCCCAGGCAATAGGGAAAAGACACAGCCACCACCTTAGAATAAAAACCAGTTGCACTTCCTGTCTCAGTGTTTGCTCTCCTTGATCAAGAGTAAAGTTGCCTAATAGTGACTTCTTTCTTTACAATTTGAAATGAATGAAATTTTTGCCCTGACAGTGCTGAAGCATGCATGGGCAGCCCATCTTGGGGTTCTGTTGAACTTCTCTATATTGGGTTTCATGGTCTAAGTCAATGAGAACGACTAATTGGTCTCTTCCTCAAGAAAGCACCAGATCTCAATACAGATGGTTGTGAGCCACCATGTGGTTGCTGGGGTTTGAACTCAGGACATTTGAAAGAGCAGGCAGCCCTACACTTATTGCAAACAATACCACAGGCATGTTTTTTTTTTGTTTTGTTTTGTTTTTTGAACAAGATCAGTTCTAAGAACAGCCTTAAAAAGATTTCTATTCTATTTCCTAATACTTTGGTCTATGTGGGTTTTTTTTTTATATTAAGGGAGTTTTAAAGTAAGTGTATGTGTGTGTGTGTATGTGTGTTATGCTCACATTGAGTGTGTGTGTATATTTTGCTCACATAAAGTGTATGTGTGTTATGCTCACACTGAGTGTGTATGTGTGTAATGCTCACATGGTGTGTGTGTGTGTGTGTGTGTGTGTGTGTGTGTGTGTGTGTGTGTACAGAGACCAGAGGAGGACCTTAAGTGTCCTGCTCTATCCCTTTCCACTATTACTTTGAAACTGGCTCTGTTACTGAACCTGGACTAGGCTGGTGGCCAGCGGGTCCCAGGGGTGGTCCTGTCTGGCCCACACCAGGATAATAGGCCAGGTGGATGATCATTTCTGCCTTCTTATGTGGGTGCAGGATCCAAACTCAGGCCATCATGCTTGTCCAACAAATGCGTCTTACTTTATCCTTAGAGGGTTTTCTGCTTTAGGACCGGAGAGATGGTCCAGTGCTTAAGACCACTTGCTGTTCTGACAGAAGATCTGGGTTCAGTTCCCAGCACCCACACAGTAACTCACAACCATCCTAAACTCAAGTTCCAGGGTACCCCACACCTCCTTCTGACCTCTGTGGGCACCAGGCATACTGATGGCGCATATACATGCATTAGGGAAAGGCATATAAACAACAACAAAAATCCCTAAAGTTTTGGGGTTCTGTTTCTTTGTTTTCTTTGGTTTTTTTGCTTCTCTGGTGCTGGGGATTAAACCCAGGACCTTGCACATTTTAAGCAACGGTTCTATCAATCTCTTTATAGTTAAAAACATCTTTTCAATTCTTACAGAATTCTTACAGAAGCCCTTAGTATTTCAAGACAGGGCCTTCAATGAAGAAAACCCACTTCTTTTATCTTTTTCAGATTGTAATATAATTACATCGTTCCCCTTTCTCTCTCCTCCCTCCAACCCCATACTCCCATACACCCCTTCTTGCTCTGTTTCAAAGTCTTGACCTCTCAAGGACACAGCAGCAGACACACTAAAGTGAATGGGGGTGGTGGTGGGGGACGGGGAAATGAGGTCTCAAACCTGCACAAAGAGCTTACTTACAAGTAAGTAAGGAGTGCTGAGCCGGAGAAACGGTCTTCCCCGACAAACATACATCCAAACTCTTTTCATGGGAGACATTTTAGAAGTTTCAGGGATCTGGGAAATAGTTCGGATCCCCCTGGAGAACTGGCCGAGCCCTTGCTCTCTGTTCTCAGGGAGGCTTGGATCTTTTCTGTCCGTGTTTCTGTCCAGGCTGCCATACCAGGCCCTCTCATCAGCCTTTGTGGTTTCCTCCTCCGTGTGCTTCCCTAAACGCTTCTCGTCCTACGGATTTGTTTCCTGTGATTAGGCCTCCCCAATTTTTGTCTTTCTCTCCTTATCTCAGGCTCACTGGCTTCCCAGGTTGGGGCTTCCACGTCAAACCCGCCAGCAATGTAGGGCTCCTTTCTCATCTGCGTAGGTTGAATTGGACTTTTGTTTCAGAGGGACATCTAGGTAGGCTCTGCTCATTGATGTACTTGTTTGCTTTTAAAAGTTTCTTTTAGACGGTTTTTCAAAATCCTTAAAGGAAATTATCTCATTTATCTGAACAAGACAGTGTCAGGTACACATCGTGAATTTCACCGTCTCTCCCAGCAGCGTGTGAATGAGCTCGTGTTTGCTGGTATTTTCCCATCATGCTTGCTTAACAATATGACTAAGTATAATTCTGCAAACATACTGTGAAGGTGTCGAAGGGACAGAGCCAGGTAAGACTTATTGACTGTGTTTAGAGTGTTTACCGCTTACTTAGAGACATGTTCCAGGTAAAATAACAGGAAACCCCCTTGACCTTCTGCAGGCTCAAGAGGAACAGAATATATTTACCTGGGGTGGCTTGAAAGGGAGGAAAAGGAAAGCTTAATCTTTTCTGACCTCAGACCCCCTTAAAAGAACCCCTAAAATGTCTTCCAGAAAAAATAAGATTAGCTGGTGTGGCGGTTCACTCCTATAATCCCAGCACTCAGGAGGCTGAGGCAAGAGGAGCCAGAGTTTGAGGTCAGCCTGGATTACATAGTAAGACTGTATTTAAAAAAATAAATTATGAAGCCGGATGTTGGTGGTGCACGCCTTTAATCCCAGCACTTGGGAGGCAGAGGCAGGCAGATCTTTGTGAGTTTGAGGCCAGCCTGGTCTACAAGAGCTAGTTCCAGGACAGGCTCCAAAGCTACAGAAAAACCCTGTCTCAAAAAACCAATAAAAAATTATGCATACATTCATTATATATTTATCATTTGTCATTTATTAAAACAAAATAAATTGTTACTTTTATGGTTTTGTTATCTTCAGTGCTTTTTTTAAAAATACAGTCTCTCTGCGTAGCTCTGGCTGTCCTGGTACCCACTCTGTATACCAGGTTGGTTTCAAACTCAGAGATCCATCTGCCTCTGCCCTTTCTTCCCCCAACCCAGCACTGGACTAAAGGCATGTGCCACCATGCCCAGTTAGTGTTTATGTTTTGTATGTGGGTTCTTTCTGGCAGAATCTCTGTCTAATTTTAGCTGTTTAAAGCTAAGTTCCCCCAAACTTGAGCCATTAATGTACTCTCTTCCCAAGTTGCCATATTTGTGCACCGTTAAATTTTCTAGTGTAAACCAGGTGTGGCAGACGCCTTTAATCTGGGCATTAGGAAGCAGAGATAGGCAGGTCTCTATGAGTTTAAAGCCAGCCTGGTTTAGATAGTAAGTTCCAGGCCACTCTGGGCTATGTAATGAGACCCTGTTTCAAAAAGCAAAAATAAAAATAAGTAAGTAAATAAATAAATACTCTTAAAAATATTTGAACTTAAATGTACAGATGTCTACTAAAACCCTTAAAAATCACACTTGCTCTTCCAAATTCACTCAATACTAATGTCCTGTAGCTCTTCGTTTAGGGCCACCGCCTTGTGATGTCCCCACACATACTGGCATGTCAAAAGTGTTGTCATTGTGCAGCTTTTGTTTAGGTGACCGTAGTTTTGAGATTTCATGGGCACAGCTTCCCTGTCATGTATAGAAGACACAATCTGACATCAGACATCCCGATCCTCTGACTTTTACAGTCTTTCCCCCCACTCTTCTGTAATGGTCCTTGTGCCTCAAGCATAGGGGTTGTGTGTTGTTTGCATGCCGAGCCACGCAGGCAGGCTGCAGAGTGGGTACAGTCATCAGCAACATTTGGGTGAAATCAAGCCCTTCTGTCCTCTTCAGCTCAGGACTCGCCGATCCTGTTGTGAAAGATAAGGAAGCTCTTCCCTCACTCAAAAGACCATCCCCTCCCTCACTCCAGATGGGGAACTTCACCAGCCCTCGGCACCGCGCTTTTTAAAAAGCTGCCACGCATCTTCGGTGTTTTCCCACCCACTGTGTGGCTCCAGAAAACCATGAGAGTCGCAGTTTCACTGAGAACGGGGTGGGAAGAAAGGCGCCGAGGAAAGGTTTCACGAGAGCACACGATCTTCTCAAAGACTGTGAGATCTGCGGCTTCCGGCGCTTGCTCCATCTTGGCAAATTCTTTCTTGGTGGGTAGAGCCTGCGCCTTCTCCCATTTGCATCTTCTCTTGAGGGTCATGGAAGTCTCACCCTTCAGGTACAAGAGGGATAATAAGGCCGTCATATTTCATTGTTTCAGTTAGCATGTGGTACAGCCCCACAGTCTGCATGCTGTTCTGTGAAGGCTCTGAAAATGCGCAGTGTGGGCTTTGCTGCATGCTGTAACTTTGACCTTTTCTCTCTCATTGAGATAACAGGCATGTCCATCTTAAGTAAGGGGTTACATTCAGGTCCACCGACAGCAATCTCAGCCTTGTTCCATACCATGTGGACATCACCACTGCAGAGTTGAGTCAAGGTCATGGGGCCAGGATACTTGCCAGCCAGCAAACCTCCCTGCCTGCCTGCCTTTCCTCCCTCCTGCCCTTCTTCCTTCCTTTTCCCCTTCTTTTCTTTCTTCCTTTTTTAAGATGGGGTATTTGTGTGTGTATCTTGCCCAAACTGGTCTCAAATGGAATCCTCCTGCCTCAGCCTTCTGTGCACAGGATTACAGGTGTGCACCATTACTCCTAGAAGAATCTGGCCTTAAAAACAGATAATCATCTCCTCTCAACAGTGTATCTTTTGTCTGTGTGGAAGATACACACTATTTAGTAAAGAAAACTACCCGTTTTAGAGTAAGATAGAAAGGAGCTGAATACTTAAGCTGTTGCCGTTTCTAAGACAACTCTCACGTCTCCCAGTGTGGAAGATAGCCCAGGAGCACACCCAGAGCTTTCTGCCTGCTTCCCAGGCCTGTGAGTCAATGCCTGAGAAGACCGCAATGATGTGAATCAAATGCCACTGATTTCTTTTCTCTTTTGCCACTGGCAGGGCTCAGTATTACTACAGCTGCGGCAGAGAGTCTGTAATTTGGGAGATCCCACCTCCTGCGCTGTTTACCCGGCCTTCTAAACGGATCCAGAAGCTGGCAAAACCCAACAGATTCAAAATGCAGTGTCTGCTGAATAGGTAGAGTATCTTAAACTCTCCAGAGTGTCACACCCTGTGGCTTCAGTTTCGGTCTCTGCGAAGACTATTTACGTCTAAACACACTGACTACAACGTAGAATGTCTGCAGCAGGAGCTCATTAACTATTCTACCTGACTGGGAAAGCTGAGGCAGAAATTCCCAGCAAACCACCTCACTATCAGGCAATAAAAGGAATCTCTCAGTCTGGTATGATGGTTCCTGCTGGCAAACTACAGCACCCAGAAAAATCCATTACAAAATGTAAAAGTCACCAACTACTCTCTTCTGCAAATATGCACATTCATGTATACATGTGTCCTCACCAGAATGCTAGCAAATCAAATCCAAACATACATGCAGCAGTTCACAACCTTGTCAAAAACCAATTGACGATAAGCACAAACGTTTATTTCTGGATTGCCAGTCTTGCTCCATATATGTTTGGAGCAACATACATATATTTACATATATGTAAATGTTTGTCTTCCTGCAATAAGGCAAATCATGATTATCACAGCTTTTTAGTAGATTTTGAAATCATAAAGTACCTTTGAACTTTGATCATTTTAAATTATTCTGGGTCCTTTGTATAACCATAGGAATTTTGCTTTTTGGGTTGATGTAAATATTCTCAAATTAATACTGATGGTTGAACATTTTGTGAATATTCTAGAAACCATTTAGTTTGTATACTTTGAAAGGGTGAGTTTTATGTACATTAATTGTACCTTAATAAGAACAAAACCTATAGCTCTCCACCCTTAGAAAGTCATTGCATAGCTGAGAAAGCCTTTTTCCATGATAAGTTTGTTGATTGGCTGGTTTTAGATTTTTGATCAGAGAGAGAAGTGTATGGTATACAGCTCATAATAACTGGCCAAGTGACTGAGAGTTGAGACAAGGATTACTTCACACTGCACTACAAAAGAGAATGGCCCATGGGTGTCCTCGGTGATGACTGAGGGAATTAATTATTTCAGGAAATAATAGGTTTCTGTAAGAAGTGAGATTTTCTTTTGTTTGGTTTTTTTTGTTTTGTTTTTTTGTTTTTGTTTTTCGAGACAGGGTTTTCTGTAGCTTTGGAGCCTGTCCTGGAACTAGCTCTTGTAGACTAGGTTAGCCTCGAACTCACAAAGATCTGCCTGCCTCTGCCTCCCGAGTGCTGGGATAAAAGGCGTGCACCACCACAGCCCAGCTAGGAAGTGAGATTTATTTTTTAAAAACTATAGGCCAGAACCCATCCAATGGAACATGTACTTCTAGGGTTTTTTTTTTTTCTAGTTAATCAAACTTTAAAGAATTATATCAGACTGTATGGCATAGAAGCACAGCGTATTGAGAATTTTGTTTCGTATATACGAGCATGTTTACATACGCTGTGACACATTAAATGTATCCCCTAACGGTGGACCAATGGGAAACAGCAATCTGTCAAACGAACTCCCATGCGCATGAAAAAAGATGATGTTCCGGCCTTCAGAGCGTGTGCATAGCTGCAGTTGGTTGTAGCTGTGAACTGCTTGTTCTTCCGTCCAAAGTCGTATTTTGTTTCCGTTTGCCTATCTCCCCCTCAGCGATGACTTAGCACCAGAGGCTCTCCATTTCGCTGATCCGTCTCCCAGGATTCTGCAGCTCTCCATAGCCAAAGGCACAGACCCCAACTACGTTCCTCCGAAAAGCGTAAGTGGCAACTCATTGTATCATGCAACACTCTCCGAGCGGGTTACTTCCTGTGCGGCTAAGAACATGACGAGAAGCAGCTTGCGGGAGAAGGGTTTGCTGGGGCTCGCAGTTTGAGGCATACAGTCCATCGTGGAGGGGAAGGCGTGGCAACGGGTGGCTTCTTGGTGGCAGGAGTAGCTAGATGGGACTCCTCACTTCCTCACATATTGACAGAACAGGAAACAGAAAGCTGGCAGGAAATGCGGCCAGGCTACAGGTGCCACTTTCCAAAGGTTACTCAACCCTCTAAAATAGCAAAGGCCACTGGATGGAGACCAAGCAAGTTCACACACGGCACTAAGGAAGACATTTCACTTTCAAACCACAACTCCTTTGCAACTTTTCTTTGTGGGGTTTTCCCTCTTACAAAATCTATTTGCTTAATCTGCCAGGAGAAGATCATAGAAGTAGAATCATGTGTGATATAGAACAAAGGATTTATTGCATGTATTAGCCCTTGAATAATTTCGGGGTCAGGTGAAGTCTATGGCAGGCTGGTCCACAGTGGAGCGGTCATAGGAATTAGTGGGAAGTTTCTCAGGAGGTATCCTGGGTATGGGGTCTAGTCCCTTTTGAGGTGGAAGGGCTGATAAGGAGAGCAGTATTTAAGAGTTTAGAGTACCCCGTTTTACTGGAAAAGTAGGGTTTAGAGTCCCCTGTTTTATTGGAATCTGCCCATACAACACCATTCCAATTCTCAAGGCCCCACTCTTTCTTGACCATGGCCCCAACTTTAACATCAGTGATTGGACAAATTTGAAAATTCAGTTTGTATTGTAACCCACCTACCCGCTGAATTAGATTTTGGTTTTCAGACCATCCATCCCTGTGACAATAGAAGATAAAGGTTTCTCTTGATGGAAGTCATTTCTGGTCCTTTATCTGGATTCTATGCTGGAAATTTAGTAACCTAAGACTGTTTTGTTTTCCTTCGAGTTGTCTAGCATCCTTACCAGTAACAGCCCACTCCATTGTTCCGCCTTATTTCACTGACGTGTTCTTGGCATTGACTGTTGTTCAGCCAAAGCTTTGATTTGCCGTGGGCTACCAGTTGTTGATTTTTTTTAACTGCCACGAACAATGTACCCCTTAATGCCTGTGAGTCTAAATGCCACCAAAACAAATTCTAAAACCAACATTAGAACCATTATAGAGAATCTTAGAGCTCTGGTCTGATTGTTGCATCATGCCAACCCACAAACTTAATGGAGAGGAGTAACCATCACTTTACCACACTGAAGGATTTTATAAGCCAGGAATTCTGAGAAGGAGAAAGGGATGGCTCTGTTTCATGTCAAGGCTTAACTGGGAAATCTGCGCTTACCTGGATGTCAGTTATGGTGAACAGCTAAAATCAACTGGGGGCTCCTTTATACCCTAATCAGTACAAGCGGCTATATCCATAGACTGGGTGGCTTCAACAAAAGATGTATAGGTATCCTTAGAAGCTGGGAAACCCAAGATGAAGACCTCAATAGATTTGGTTCTTATTGAAGTTGATCTCTTAATTACAGATAATGTTCCAGGTGAGAGTAATTTTTCTCTTCTCTGAACCCAAACACCTAACAAGAGGCATCTTGAGAGAAAAGGGACCCATTTTGGCTCATGGTTTGAGGTGGTACAGTCCATCATTATGGAGAAAGCACGGGGGCACATGGCTGTGGAAGCCAGAGCGTAAGGTGGCCTGGTTACTTCCTGTTGGCTAGTAGGAAGCAGAGCAGGAACTCAGGCTGGAACCAGAGCCAGATCATAATCTGTCAGCCTGTCTGGAGCTTCCTTCTTTCTCCAGTGAGGCCTCAGCATGAAAACTACAAACCAGAACCATGAGCTGGGTACCAACCATTCAAACACACTTGAACCTGTAGGGAACTATTTTATATCCAGCTCTAGCAGATGACCACATCTAATACACTTGGGATTCAGGCTTTAATCTATGAAGGGTCACAAACAGTCAATCCGTAATTGTACCTTTGTGAAGTGCCTAGGTTGGGGTGACCAGGCTAGACTTGACTGTTAATGTGCAGGAGAACCTTCACAGGCCCCTCCTTGTGGTGTAGAACTCTGGGCCAAGGTTGTCATGCTCAGAGGAGTGTCCTAAAATGGGAGGTTGAAGGGGAACATTCCAAGAGAAACTGCATTTTTAAAAAGTGGGTAGGGTTTAGGATGAACATTTACTTCAGTTGTGTGCGGTTGGTTGATAGGGTTACTGTCTGGTCAGATTCGAGGGGGTAAGGACACAAACTCAGTCTTTGAAGGAGAGGAGTGTCAAAGAGTTTAGAGGCACTTGACAAAACCCTGTCACACCAGCTGATGTGAGTCCTTTGGTGTTCTGGAACATGGATACTACCAAATAGGTCCATTATTTAAATTTCAAATTTCAAAATCTTCTTGAACATTTAGGCTGACTTTTCAAGTTCTAGTATTATATGTACAGCCCTTTTAGTTTTTAATAAAATTGAAAGATCTTGACTTATATTTGGTTGCTTCCAAAGTTAGTTAACAAAGCCTTTCAAGCAATTTTAAACTATATTATTAAATTTATTCTATTTGATTTATTTGTGATTTTGCCATCTACATTAGCAAACAAACCTAAAATACTAGATCACTATCTTAAAATTTAATATATTAAATTTACAAATAAGGTGCAAATGATTTTTTTTGTTTATTTTATGTGCATGGGTGGTTTGCATTCATATACACCTGTGTACCAGTTTCAGGCCTGCTGCATGGGGAAGAGAGCTTCAGGCCATCTTGTGGGTACCAGAAATTGAACCCAGATCCTGAGCTATCGCTCCGGGTCCAAATGAAATTTTTTTTAAAATAAATGTTCTAAGAATAAACACAAAATTTTTATTTAATGTCAATCACAATTCTAACTCAATTCCTCAGTTATATATGGAATAGACCAAATTCCCTTAAATATTCACACCTAGGTATGCATATAGTTTTTATATTAATAGTTTAAAACTTCCTACAAATTACAAAATTATCATTTTATCCCTTTATTATTTTCTTCCTTCTGCATGTGCTGTGCATGTACGCATAGTGCTTTCAGAATAACTTCTGAGAGGAAGCTATATAGGTATCCCAAGTTCTTTCCTGTTAATTCCCAAGACAATGACTTCTTTTATAAACCACAGAAATACTGTTATATGATTCATATTCAATGTACATTGTTGTTGTACATATGCTCAACATAAATGATTAATTTATGTTAGTTAATGATTAATTCTATTATTGATTATTTGCAGCTAGCTATAAATATACCTTTAGTTTAACAGTAGGCTCTTTTTGTTTAAATTTATTTATTTATTTATTAAAAATTTCCACCTCCTCCCTGCCTCCCATTTTCCTTCCCCTCCCCACGTCCCCCTCCCTCTCGAGTCTTAAGAGCAGTCAGGGTTCTTTGCCCCGTGGGAAGTCCAAGATCCTCCCCACTCCATACAGGTCTATAAAGGTGAGTATCCAAACAAACCAGGCTCCCACAAAGCCAGTCCATGCAGTAGAATCAAAACCCAGTGCCATTGCCCTTGGCTTCTCAGTCGGTCCTCATTGACAGCCACATTCAGAGAGTCTGGTTTGATCACATGCTCCATCACTCCCAGTCCAGCTGGCCTTGGTGAGCTCCCATTAGATCAGTCCCACCGTCTCAGTGGGTGGACGCACCCCTCGTGATCCTGACTTCCTTCATGTTCTCCCTCCTTCTGCTCCTCATTTAGACCTTGGGAGCTAAGTCCAATAGTAGGCTCTTGCCCTCAAAGGAAGCCAGCTTCCTCTCTCGGGTGCCTGACATCATTTTGGATGGATGAACTAGAGAAAACTTTAAGTGGCTGTCATTCTGAGTCCCTTTGTGCAGGAACTTTGTCATGGTCTAAAAAACCTAAGTGTTTGGTTTCATGGCTCGCCTGGCACCTACCCACTGTTCTCTGTCCACGTAGCTACATTCGTGACTTCTCCCCATACAACCCAACCCGCAGATAAACCAACCTGTTGGACTTAAGCACGTGTTGGCTTTACAGAGACAGAGTGCTTCAAATTCTGCAGATCTCACCCAGCATTGTCCCACTTGCTGTCCTGATTTATTAGGTTTTAATTATTTTTACTCATGGCAGGACAGTGGCGGCCCACGCCTTTTATCCCAGCACTCAAGAGGCAGAAATAGGCAGATCTCTGTGAGTTCAAGGCCAGCCTGGTCTACAGAGTGAGTTCCAGGACAACCAGGGCTGTTACACAGAGAAACCCTGTCTCAAAAAAAAAAAAAAAAAAGCAACAAACAAAAAAATTCTGAAAGTAAAATCACTGTGTTTTGGAGGGATAAATTCTGGAATGTAGAATTCTGGAATGTTCCCCAAACACTGATTTTGATTTACATATTTACTAGCAGTATTTGGCTCTTTTGCAGTGCACTTCTACCAACATTAGATATTATTCTACAAACTATTAACTATATAACAAAACAGTATTTCATTTAAAGTTATTTCTTTGATGCTAAAAGTTCAAATAGTTCTCCACATTTATTTACCATGTGTTGTTCTCTTTGATAAAATTATCTATTGATGGCTCTATTTTACACTGGTCTGTATATTTTTATGGCCTTGTAAAGTTTATTTACATAATAAGGATATTCATCTGTTTTATATTATGACACTATTTTTCTGAGGTTATGGCTTGAAATTCTTGAATTTTAGTTTATATGAAATGCTTAGATCTGAAGTGTACAAATTAATAAACTAACAAGTGCATAAATCTTTTCAATAAATATCCCATGCTTAGGCTACGGAACAATGGCTTATGCCTGCAATCCCAGCACTTGGGAAGGGGAGACAAGAGGGTTGCTTTGCCACTAGTCTGAGACCAGCCAGAGCTAACATGGGCGCCTGTCTCTGAAGAAAACAAAGCCAACCAAAGACACAAAGCATTTCAATTGTTCCATAGGGTTTCCCTCTATTTCCTCTCAATTCCTAGTTCACTCCTTGCCCTAGATGTTGTTATGATTCAGATTCCTATGGCCACAGAGTAGTTCTGCCTGCTCATGACCTTGATCTAAATGGAAACATACACCATCTGTCCTGTAGAATTTGGCTGTTTGTTCAACATAAAAGTTCATCTGTGCTACTGAGTATACCAGTAAATTGCTCCATCTTATTGATAAGTGTTTGTTATTTATTCCATTGTGTAACAACATCACAATTTGATTATTCACTTAAGATGGGCATTTGAGATATTTCTGTTTTTACTTTTATTTTGTTTTATGTGCACTGGTGTTTTGTCTGCCTGTATGTCTGTGTGAGGGTGACGGATCCCCTGAACTAGAGTTACAGACAGTTGTAAGCTGCCATCTGGATGCTGGGAATTGAACCTGGGTCTTCTGGAAGAGCAGCTAGTTCCCTTAACTGCTGAGTCATCTCTCCAACCCCATTTGAGATATTTCTATGCAGACTACCACAGATAAATTTACTATTAACACTTGTGTGCAGGTGTTTTGTGAATGTATGTTTTGGTTTGGCTGTTTTTTGAGACAAGGTCTTCATTCTGCAGCCCAGAATGGCCCAGAACACACTACATAACTGTTGCAGGCATTCTGCATGTCCACATACAACTTAGACTCTATTGTGCTTTGCTATTCTTTGTTGCGTTACTTCATAGAGCTGACTGATTGTTGTATCCCCTTTTGATTGAAAGGCTTAATTAAAAGCAGTGGTTGGCATATTCCTTCAGTTCACCTAGAGCTCTGCATCAGACAAAGCTTTATTCATAAGAAATGTGTTAAATGCTTTAATTAGTTCTTCACGGTGTCGAGACATGCACTGTCCTCTGTTTAAATCCCAGCGTTGCCTTTCCCCAGTTATATAAACTTACGCTATTGGACCTCCAATGGTTCAGTGCTTCTTTCAGTGAAATGGGAATGGAAACAACAATCCCGGCAAGGAAGAAATTATTGAATACACAGAAAATGTCGTCACTGGCGACGCCCACTGTCGTTTTCACTTAAACAGCTTACTTTTTTTTTTTTTTGCCTGCAATTAAAAGTTTTATTGTATTGCCATAGATTGATACATCCTCTTTCAAACCCTTTTTCATTTGATTTTAGATTTATTTTATTTCACATGTATTTTGCCTGCATGTCTGTGTGCACCACTGCATGACTAACGCCAGCAGAGGTCGGAGACGGACAGCAGAGATCCCGGAACTGGAGATACGGGTGGCTGCGAGCCACGTGTGGGTGCTGAGACTGGAGTTACGGGTGGCTGCGAGCCACGTGTGGGTGCTGAGACTGGAGTTATGGGTGGCTGCGAGCCACATGTGGGTGCTGAGACTGGAGTTACGGGTGGCTGTGAGCCACATGTGGGTGCTGAGACTGGAGTTACGGGTGGCTGTGAGCCACATGTGGGTGCTGAGATGACTGGAGCCCTACTACGAAGAGTATAAGGGCAAGAGCACGCGATTTGAGCAAATATTCATGACTGAGATACTGATAAATGACTTCCCAACCTGGTGGTAGCAATACCAGGATCCTTTAGTTTCCTGGTCCCTGTGATCTCTGACTTAAGAATTCGAACAAGACGCACGGATTTAGTGTGGGAGACAGGTTGAGTTTCTTAAATAAACTGCACTCTTGGAGCTGGAGAGATGGCCCAGTAGTTGTTCTTGCAGAGGATCCTGGTTCAATTCTTCTTGCCCACGTGGTGGCTCACAATCATCTTTAAACTCCGATTCCAGAGGATCTGACACCCTCTTCCGGCCTCCTCTGGTACCAGGCACAGAAGAGGTACAGAGATATACATGCAGGTAAAATATTCACAAGCATAAAATAAGTAATTCTTTAAAAAAGTAATCTTAAAAAAAAAACTACACTTTCAAGGGTAAAAGTAGACAATGGCCAAAGAGACCGTTGTCTCATGTGCATTTTACACAGGTTTTATACTGTTTTCTAGTCTTCAGAACAAGCAGCTTTTTTCTGAGAGGCATTGTCCTGCTTAAGTGACAGAGAAGCCTGTGTCCCTTGACTCTCCCAAGAGGCAGTAATATTCTGTCTTCACTCATTATCAGAGAGACCCTTGCTATGTGGTTCTCCCATGGGGCTTATGGCTCCCAGATTCGGGTTTAGAGAGTTGTTAATGGCCTTCTGGACAGTTCAGGACATACGTCTCTTTAGGGATAGAAATATAAGTCAGGCCCGATTCCTCCGACCCCTAAATGAAATGCCACCCTTTCAGTCCTTTATTTTACAGCCCCCATGTCCTCCAAGCCTGACAGTATCTAACTAGCTACCTGGCAGAGGTGCGTGTTTCTGCTTTCTTCTGGCTTTCAAGGCGTTTCTTACTTGTTCCAATTTTAAGAGCCGCTTAGGTAAATGTCCTTTACTTGGCGACCTGTGATAGTGAGAGCTCCTTTTCCCAAAGGGTCAAAAGTCTTCTCTTTTGGATGTTCTTTTATAACAGAGTCGTATCTTCTCTTGGCTAACTTCGTATTTTGTCTGAAAATTTTTCATCACATTTATTTACTCTCTCTCTCTCTGTGTGTGTGTGTGTGTGCCTGTGCACAGGCAACCATGCTGTAGTACATGTGTGGAGGTGCAAGGACAACCCCGTGGAGCCTGTTCTCTCCTTCTACTTTGATGTGAGTTCTGGGTACTGAACACATGTTGTCTGGCTGGCGTGGCAAACACTTGACCTGCTGAGCCGTCTCACTAGACCTGGGCTGACTCTCTTCGCCCACAGCTCAGCATTGCCGTTTATTTCCAAGTTCATATGTAGCGGCGTTGACTATCTCTCCCACGTCTGTCATGGAAAGCTAATCTGTGGAAAGCTGGCTTGGAACACGTACGCTCCAGGTTGAGTGAGATAGAAACCGATCCTGTGGAGGATGACCGCGGATTCCCATCCTTTCCGCTGAGCTGCTGAGAAGTCTAGTGGCGCTGAGCTCAGACCCCACTTTATAACGCTGAACAGGACAGGCACTTACATACCACTTCTTTTTTCCCTCTTAGACTGAAACCAAGATTTCCTACTCTACCCTGAGTGCCGTTGCAAGTCCGAGGATCGTAGACCTTGCCAACCCGAGGATCAAGATAGAAGGCCTATGCTATGAGAGAGAAAAGAGTGAATTGCCCATCCGTCCCGTAAGCCGCTCCGCCTCACTCATCGGCTGTCTTTCCGATTGCCCCTAAGATGTTACTTTGCCTCAACAAGGCACAGGAATAATCAGAACAGAAAGTGGTCCGTAGTGGAAAGGGAGGCCAATGGATATGAATGATTAGGGGAAAGGCGCAAGAGTCGAGGGCAAAGAACATGGACTTTGAAGTTAGCGGGCTGGGTGTGAGTCTGCCCTTTCCCATGAACTCCCCACAGTGAGGACTGGCTGCTAGGTATCATCCTTATTTTACCAGTAAAGTAACAGTGAAGAGACCATTGGAAGACGTGCCTTTCAGAGTAAGACAAGAAGAGACTAGTTAGGCACGACATATTCACTTGGCACCTAATTAGGCAGGTAAATGAATTTACACTGTAGATACATACTATGAGGAATATTAAATGAGCCAGGTGCACACAAACGTGTTCTCTCCGTGTTCAGGAACTGGAGGCAGGAGGATCACAGACTTGAGGCAGAGTTGAATTGCATGAGCTAGGCACCAGGGCTTGTAAGGCTGTCTCAGATAGACAGACAGTAGGATTAAATAAACACCGTAGAGAAGGTGCATTAGAAAGGGTGAGCTGCTGGTCAGGAAGCCCTCCATGAGTGTCTGATCTAGAGACAAGCGAGGAAAATGTATCTCAGCCAAGAACGAGGAAAGATGTAGTCTCAAGGAGAACTAGGAAGAGGTCCTGAGGCAAAAAGAGTCAGAATGGAGGCCCTGTGTGACTGCCGAGAGTCACAGTGTCCCTGATGGAGGAGGGGGAAGATGAGGTTAGAGACGAGGGGTGGCGATCAGAGTTTATGGGACCTCTGTAGATACAGGAAGGAGCCTACTCAACTGTCAGCAAAATGAGGGTACCCACCTGAGGGCTTAGCACCCAAGGGTGGTGTGTCCCTTAGCTTTATGAAATCCTCGCCTGGTGGAGTGTTGTGATGAGTACCGCCTGTCTACCACGCAATGGTTCACAGTCAGGCAAGGGTCTGGAGATTGAAACACACATACACATAGACAGAGACACGGGTCATCCTTGGAACAAGACTACCCCCTTTATTGTGTTCCTGGGCAGCTTAGATAGGGCTTTCCTTGACTAGTGGCCACGCCCTAGTCTCAGCTGCAAGCCCACCAGAAACCACTCCCGTGCCATCAGGAACTCATGAGGGTCTTGTGCCCAGAGCAGCTGCAAGCTTAGGGAAACAAGTTGTTTACTCCGGCAGGCAAGGGGTCACAGAAAATTCAGGGTCTGAGGGTCTGCAGTCCCCAACAGTGACGGTGAAGTGGGGATGATGGATGTGAGCCACTCAGAGCCATTCACTCTCCCGCGGCCCTCACGGGAAGGCTGGATTGCTCAGGCCACCAGGGGAGACAAGGAAGTCATCAGGGAGTGCATCCAGTCACAGTATGGTAGGAGAGGAATGAGAGGGAGACAGGGAGACTTGGGGAATTCTGGGATGGAGATTTGGATCTCTGTGTTTGCTCCAGGTAACCCCTGCTGCCCTGCTTGCCAAACCTACTGACCGAACCATAAAGTTAGCAAAGTCTAAACCTGTTCATGAAGATTATCTCCCGGTCCGAGATGCCCGATGGCCTGTTTCTTATGCTGCTGCCCATTCCCAAGTGTCTGACAGAGTCCAGGAGCTAGCTAACCCACCCACAAGGTATGGTAATTTAAGGCTAACATGGGGCAGGAAAGGTTAGGGGTCTGGAGAAAAGGGGGAAGGTTGATCTAAAATTAAAAAACAAACAAGCAAAAAGGCAAAATTTTTAGGGGGTGGAAGGGCAAAACTTTGGGAAGCTGACAGCGTGCAGACCCTAGATCATGCTAATGGCGTCTCCAGAGGCGACCAAACAAACAATACCCTAAGTGCTTAACGTGTGAGTGGGGTGTGCTTGGGAAATACCAGTTCTTTTCTCTCTTCTTAGTTCACTTTGGTTTCTTTTCCTACTATTCCAGGGCTTCGGTGCACGTTGTCTACTACGACCCAGACGTCTTTAAAGTCAAGCCTTCTGCTTTGAGAGCACAGTGTTCTCCCAGGGTCAAGGAACTGGCTGAACCCATTGTGCGCTAACGGCAACAAGCCACCCGAGGTCGACATGAGTTACCGAGTTCCGTATCCGGAACACAGAGCAGATGACTTGATTCCCTGCCTCGGTGTTTACATCTTACCAATCTTCTCCAAATATGAGATTTCCAGGGAACACCACTGTGAACGTCAGATAGACACTGTCTGTGATCTTTCTTGCCTTTACTGAGTTAGGGGACTGCACCCTGCAATAAAGGGGAAACCAATGCCCGCTTCGAAATCCCTCCCACTCACGCAGGCATCGCGACAGCCCCCGTGCTGTGCTGCCCAAAGGACTTGCTTTCTCACTTTTGTATGTTTTGCTCATCCTCCACCCTCGGCCGCCGCTTTCTGTCTCCAGCCCTTCTCTACAAAGTCCTGGGAACCGAGGTTAGTCTCAGTGTTGCCTTGTCTGTCTTCCTTCATCATCTGCAAAAACACCGACCCAAAGGGCTTCTTTGGATGAGACAAAATGGTTTTCGTAGTCTCTATTACGGAACTGTTGCTTGCCTTAGCATCTTCACTGGTCTCCACTGCCTTCTTCCAGGCTCGCTGTGAAGGACGGAAAAAAGATACTCACATGGTGAAGGTGTGCACCTATAATCCCAGCTACTGGGGAAGGCAGGGGAGGGAGGGTCGCCTGAGCTCAAGAGCTCAAGAGCAGAATCCCATCTCAAAAAGATAAACACAGGTTTTATTTGGTTTGGTTGGATTGGGTTGGGTTTTTTGTTTTGTTTTGTTTTGTTGTTGTTTTGTGGGGAGTGGGTTTGGTTTTTCAAGACAGGGTTTCTCTGTGTAGCTTTGGAGCCTGTCCTGGAACTCGCTCTGTAGACCAGGTTGGGCTCGAACTCAGAGATCTGCCTGCCTGGGTTTGTAGCTCTCCTGGGTCATTTACTGGGCATTGGAGCTTAAATCAATTCCTTCATTCCCCATCTCTGCTTCCTTACATATAAATAAGGTTCTTCCCACAATGTTGAAAAGATTAAATGAAAAAAGTACATATAACAAAGTGTGAACTTGAATTGAAATTTGTTTTTTTTTTAATTTCACTATGTTTTCTGGGAAGAAGAAATGGTATAATTAATATCAAAAACATGGCTTGATTCCCCCCCCCCCCCAGTGAATGCTGAGTGCTCTTCTAGGCGCTGGTCAAGGGATGGGAGGTACAGCACAGCGAGCCAATGAGACGCCAGTTCTGTTCCCACAGCCTGTCCATCTGCGTGACATCTCCTTATAAAGAGGTGTAAAATGACCATAGAGCAGTGCCATGAAGCAGTGTCGTGAAATAACAGAACAGAGAGCTTCAGTCCCCTAGGAAGGCCAGGGAGGTTCTCTTCAAAGGAGAGAGAGTTGAACTGGAACCTGAACACGAGTAGAAAAACCAACATCAGAGTGGACAACAGGCATTCCAGAGAGCGGGAATCTGTTTCCGGGGTGTACTTGAGTTTTGGGTTATCTTTCCTCCCTTTGGAGAGCATCTGCCATTTCCTTTTGTGGCACTACCTTCCTCAAGACAGGGTTTCTCTGTGTAGCTTTGGAGCCTGTCCTGGAACTCGCTTTGTAGACCAGGCTGGCCTCAAACTCACAGAGATCCACCCACCTCTGTCTTCCTAGTGCTGGGATTAAAGGCGTGGGCCACCATGCCCAGCAGGCTGTGAGTTCTAAAAGGCTTGTCTGAGGAGGTCCTGGCCACTGGCCTGCTTTGGCAACAACCATACCAGGGGCTGTGAGGAAAGGGTGCCTGGAGACATTCATTCTTTCAGACTTCGTGTGAATTTTCCTTTTCCATCTGGGAGGTGTTCCCAGGTGAAAGAATGCTCCCACCCACTGTAGCGTGCGTCTGCCTGCCTTTCTGGTTCCTATGGTTAAGGTGCGGCCTGCTAGGACTTCTCGGATGATGGGCATCCTGGAAGGGATTACAAGAGAGCGTAGGCTTCTAGCCAGGGATAGGGGAAGGTGGCTGTAGGGAGTGGAGATCGGGAAGCAGAAGCCTTCAGGGTAAGTGGGAAGTGAGCCACACCCAGGTGCCAGGAACACAGTGGCCACGGGTAGGCAGCTTTGTGGAATGACTGTAATGCCTAAGCTTGCATATATTCCTTGGGACTTGAAGAGTTTGAAAGGACCCCCTCCCTTCCTGGCTTCATCAGACTTAAAACATGGCCAGTGTCAGGGGGGCATTGTAAATTAAGGCTTCTCTGGGATGGTTACCACATGGTTAGCTATTTGTAGAGGAAAAAGAAATGTATCATGTGACTTCAAATGTTCCAGGGAAGCAGTGTAGATATATGAAGAGAACGGAACAATATGATGCCATGTTTAACCCCTCTGGGCCTCCATTTTATCACCAATAAAATGGAAGCCAAAATACTATTCTTAAATCCTGGCTCCCAAAGACCACCATGTAGCTTTGGAGCTAATAGCTTGCTGAGGTACGATGCATCAAGACAGCATTAAAGAATGCAAAGGTTTTCCCTCTTGGAGTAGTTTAGACCAAGAGTGAGCCCACTTTTGTCTGCTCTGTTGTCTGTCTCCTGTGGTCTGCCCATCATCTGTGTGTCTGGTGTCTGTGGCTGTGAACTGATGCTGGGGCCACATCAACTCTTACGAAGGAAATGCCTCCCACGACAGGGCTGGCTTCCAGGTGCAAACGTTTAGCCCATCGTTGTCACGGCAGGAAGCATGGCATCACGCAGGCAGACGTAGTTCAGAGTTCTACATCTGAACAAGCACGAAGCAGGATGAGAGAGTGACAGGACACTAGGCCTGGTGTGAGCTTTTGAAACTTTAAAGACCACCACCTGTTGCATGCTTCCTCTAACAAGGCCACACATCCAAAGCCACTCCCCAGGAGTTTATGGGGGGCCTTCTCATTCAAAACACAACAGATATTTGCTGAGTTTTTATTGATTATTTATTTATTTATCTATTTTTTTTTATTTTGGAGACTGAGTCTCTCTCTAGGTAGTCTATCTCGTGGTTGGCCTGGAACTCACCGTGTAGACCAAGCTGACCTTGAACCTAGAGATCTCCCTTCCTCTGCCTCCTGAATATTGGGATTAAAGGCAAGGGCCACTACTCTCAGCAAGGGATACGCTTTCTGCAGAACTCTTACCACAGTTTCACAAGGAAAGACTGACCCCACCTAACCCAGTATAGCACAGGCTATTAAACAGGCTGAGCACCAGTAGGAAAACAGAGTGGTTTTGCAACATATTTTTAATGATTATTTGGGAATTTCACATAACACACCCTGATCACACTCACTTCTCAGTCCTCCCTCAACTCTTGTGACCTCCACAAAAATGGGAAAAAAAACCCCACAGGTCCAATTTGTGATGTTCATATACTCACTGGAGCAAGGTCAAACTCCCAGGGGCCAGCTCTTAAAAACAATAAATAAACAACAAAACTGAATCCTTCCCCACCCGCACCCATGCCAGTAACCATCAGTTGTTGAGGGCTACATCTCAGCATCTTCACCACGTTTTTTTTTTAAGAGTTCCCGATCGAGCAGTTTTAAATGGTCTCAAAGCATATTATTAATGTTGCAATGTTGGACAAAAGTACACATTTCTGAAGGGCAAGACGTTTTCAGATAAAGCTATCCCTAAAGTACAGCAGCTTGGCTGTGGCAGCACCTACCAAGGGTAGGGCTTGTGTGTGATATTTATGAGATTTAAGGGATCTTACCTAAGGTATATCTTTCAGGAGGAAAGTCTGCTTAAGATTAGACAGAAGGGTGACAGGTATTCAAGGTGAGTACTGCCTTGGCAAGCTGGCGAGGCTACTGGGATCCGTTTAGGATGGTAACAATAAAGGTTATTGACAGTTTTATCTTTGTGGGCAGGCTCCCCGGAGTCATATTCCGATGGTGGAAGTGAAAACCAGGCTTACAGAGACAGTAAACTGTGTGGTGTAGGGGTTTGAGGTCAGGTCTCTCCAGTTGCCTTCAGCACTGCTGTAAAGATGAAGGGAGACAATGAATGAGACGCTCTGGCTCCAGATTCGTGCACGGTCAATCCTCACAAACTGTTTCCGTTCATCTTGTTATCATCTTATCCGAATTCCAGCCTTCTTATCAGCTTGCTAATGTGTAAAACTCAACCTCCAGAATTATTTTCTCATGACCTACGGAGTCATCTCTTTCAAGAACGTAAGCACATTCAGAAAAAGGTGTCTCATTACATGTTAAGAACATTTACACCTCAACAGGATGCTATTTATAAAATTCGAAAAGGAAAGTGTAGAAGCTTAAAACACAAGCCTTCCTAAGCCATTAGAAAAGACAGCTTCAGAGGTCCTCCAGTCATCCCGGAAGAGCCTTGCCCATGCTCACTCAAGGCAAGACAGACAGACAGTAGCACCAACCCAAAGCCTCTGACTCTTGTTTAAGATTAATTTTGATTGGGGCTTGAGAGATGGCTAAGCAGTTAAGAACACTTGTTGCTTTTGCAGGAGACCCAGTTCAGTTCCCAGCACCCACATGGCAGCTTACAACTCTCTATAATTCCAGTTCCAGAGGAGCCAACATTCTCTTCCGGTTTCCACAGGCAGTGCACACATGTTGTGCACAGAGACACACACAAATAAAATACGTAAGGGCATAAAATAAAAGTAAACAAATCTAAAAATTTCTTTAAGGTTTATTTTTATTACCTTTAATGGTGTGATGTATTCTGTATGAGTATGGACCTGTGGTGGCTTGCATAAGAATGGCCCCAGAGGTTCATCAGGGAGTGGCACTATTTGAGAAGGATTAGGAGGTGTGGCCTTGTTGGAGGTAGGCTTGGAGGTTTCAAAAGCCCATATTAGGCCCAGTCTCTTTCTCTCTGCCTGTGAATCAGAATGTAGTTCTCAGCTATTTTTCTAGGACTGTGACACCTGTATGCCACATGATCTCTGCCATGATGATAGTGGATGAAGCCTCTGAAACTATAAGCAAATCCACAATTAAATGCTTTCCTTTCTAAGAGTTTTGCTGTGGCCGTGGTGTCTCTTCACAGCTATAGAACTCTGACTAAGATAAGCCTCATGTATGCAGTTACCCACAGAGACTAGAAGTGGGCATCTAAATCCCCCGATCTGGGTTTAGAGGGGGCTGTGAGTCACCTGGTGTGCTTGTGGGGACAGAATCTCTGTCCTCCACAAGAGCAACAAGTGCTCTTAGCCACAGAGACAAATCTCTGTCCCTGAGGCTCTGACTGTTAGCATGGGGGGTCAGCTCTCTG